AATGGCCCCGATATGTCACGACGAGTGTTTCACTATATTTTCTAATTGTTAAATTAAATATACCTAGAACTCACGTTCATAAGTTGCAAGTTCCTTGAAGCCCCATTTTTTAATCCCTGACTCTCTCTCTCTTTTACAGATTTTTCCTGTGTTGATAATAGCCGTGGTCGCGCGATGTCGATGTGACTACGCAAATGGGTTCAGCAATCACAATGGGAACTACGCTTCACAATTCGGAACGCTGCTGAAGCCGCCGCCACCACCTCCGCTTCCCATTATACCTGTGCCCTTCCATAAAGGCACAGAGAGAAACCAGCGACAGACTTCAGATGTCGGCTACCAGTACCAAACCCCACCGCCCCCACCATCATCCAATGACTTTAAATTCCCAGCTCCTTTCTACAAACAATACAATTTCAATTTCGTTCCTCCTCCCCAACCCTTTTCTACTACTCCCTCGCCTTCTTTGTTCCAGAAAGTGTCGGGATGGCTTTTCCCATCACAACAAACTCAACAAAGTAGTTATACAGGCTCAAATTTATATAATAACGTAGCTCCTATTAAAAAGGATTGTAATCCTTGTAATTTAGTGCCATGGTTACCTGTAATTAGATACAATTTAGGAGCTAAAAATGTTTATCAGAATTCATTGCCAACGTATGGACCGCCCAGTCCTACAGCCTATGCTAATTTATTAAAAGCTCATCCGCAGCCCTTCAACTCACAAAACCAAATTAAACCGCCGCCACAACTTGTACCGGGAGTTCCACACGCGAATTATGGTCCACCTAACTTCCCGTATAATGGGGGACCAGTAAAAATAGTTAGTTCTACTTATGGTCCTCCAAGTGCCACACATACTTTAGACATTATATCGCCAAATCCTCCAAGTTCTACATATTCTCAACCAAGCTCATCTTATAATGCACCTAGTTCTTCATTTAATTCACACAGCAATTCGTTGGACACACAGTTCCTATCAACACCATCTCAAGGAATATCAAATAATGCCTTCAGTGTACCTTCTTCAACATATCAACCACCCGTGCATTCCTATGGCACTCCTGCCTCCTCATACGGAACACCTTCTTCGTCTTATGGCACTCCATCTTCATCGTACGGCACTCCTTCGTCATCGCACGGAAATCCCTCTTCATCGTATGGGACTCCATCTCCATTGTATGTAACCCCTTCACCATCGTATGGTACCCCTGCTCCTGGGTATGAAACGGCTCGTCCAGGTGTTACAAATTTTGAACCAGTTACCCCACAATACGAACCAGGGACTTTAAATAAAGACCTTTCCCCACAAAATGACGTAGAATTGTTGGAAAATATAACACCTCATGCAGAATTACAATTACCAAAAGTTTCACATCCAACAACATTTAAAAATTCTTATGGTGAACCTATTACCAATACACATATATTCGATATTTCTTATCCTGTGTCAGCTACGGCTGCAGAGTCATCTAAAGTTAAAACAGTATTGCCTCAAAATAGTACGAAAGCACCAACACCAAGTGAGTCATTTGCGCTCGCCAATCCAGCTCCATTTTCATTAAATAGAGGCCGAAACATTCACACCCTACAACCAGTTGCGCTGCCAAATCTGAGTGTGTCACCTTTGCCTCCTATATTTAATGCCCGACCTTTTCGACCAATGCCACCTCGATTTTCTTCGAACGTTCTGCAAGGAATCAATTCAATGCAACAATCCAATAATAATGTCCATATCGAACAAAGTATACCACTTACAGAATTCACACATTCTATAGACTATCCTGCTACTATAATACAATCTCCTATAATCGAAATAGATCCTCCTTCCAATGTAAATCAATCTAAAGCATATAGAAATATAGCAAATAGTTATGTGGTTGATGAAATCAGGGATATATCTTCTCAAGCCTCTGAAGATCATATTTCAGCAACAAAATCGAACACAGATTCAAGTTTCGAAAGTACAGGGGAAGATGTGGGTAATGAACTATATGACAACAATGTCCCTACTGATTTGAAACTTGGGTCGCGTTTCCCTTCTAATCACAAACACAATTTCGCTGATTTAAGAGGGTTGAACGATGAAGATGTTGATAAATATCGCACAGAAAATAACTTACAAAATATTGATTCACCCCTTCTGTACCTTAAACCAAGCGCTCCACATAAAAATCATGGAGATTTCATACTCGCTGTATCTTCGCCAATACCCGAAAATGAATATGAAATATATGACGATATTCCAACAACAACATCAGCAACCACAGCTAGTTGGGATGAAAATGTACAAGGAAGCGTATACAAACCGAAGATCGTTCAAATAATTGTACCTTATACTACAGGAAATAAACAGACTACTTTGAATGATGACTTTGTACAAATGTCTGAAGATTGGCCCTCGACACCGAAAGACGAATCTCAACCTCGTAAAGTTCCGTCAAACACAGATAATTCATATGTAACTCCTGTGACAGATGATTCAAATTATATTGTAGCCACAACAACGGAAGATACGACTGCAGCTGAAAATTATGATTCAGACAGATCAAAAGACTTCTATGATGTAAAGGAACCACCATTTGATATTATAAAACTACAACACACTATAGATGACTGGACTGAACAGGAATATTCTAAACAATACAAAACTCCTCAAAGAACTCGTAACATTGAAAAGCACGCTAAACAGATTCCTGACGACTATTTTACAACTACAATGCCAACAAACTACGTATCAACAACCAGCAATTACAATTATGATTTTTATGATCACGAAGGCTCAAGTAGTGTGCAACACACAGTTACTGACGAAAGTAATAATACTTTCAGTAAACCACGAAAGGAATACAATGTTATAGAGAGAACGAAAAACAGACATGATAGTGGTAAGAACGATGAAATAGATCAGGTGCAAAAACTTCATATTTATACAGCAGCCTCATCTTTTCGTACCACAAGTTCGTCAACTACAACCACACCGGCACCGTGGGGCAAAATACAAACATCAATATCACCGTTAACTAAAGAAAAAGTTTATGTGGTTACTTCAAAGCCTTGGAGAGACATGCGAAATGCGTCAGCCGAATGGTATGAAGTGGAACCTTTTGAATCTAAGAAAACGAGTAATGACGGTGACTTCTCAGATTTACCATTTAGGTCACCGAGGTTTATTAATCGACCATCATTCGGCTTTACGTCGGGAGGAAAGATCGAGTCTGATTCATCTTATGGCTTTTCTAAAAGCTGGTATCAAAGCAGTGAGTACTCAATATTTGTAATAGACACTTAAATTACTGTTGTACGATTTATTAATATCAGTATTATTAACAAAGATCTCGAGTTTTCCTCGGAAATTCTTTCGAGTAAGGCAAGCTTAGTATAGAAACTTTATGTGCATCATGTATTTGTAGTGTGTTATTATTTGGCCCTCTTAAATACAGTATTAATCTTAATACGTAGTGCGTACTAAATTACAATAAATATAATTATGTTATACAATCTCTGGTATTAAGTTTATTTATTTACTTTCAGTAAACGAGCTGGAGACACAGAAGGAGAGCAATAGTACGTCCTTCCAAGAAGTAACTGAACAGACAGCTACCACTAACTTGGACGAGGTTTTATTCTTCTAATTTACTAACTTTTAATTTCCTCTTAAGAAATGTATTTAATTCTGTGGTTTTTTTCTCTTAACCGTGAAATTGGAAATTTGTTAATTTTCCTATGTATCAAAATCGCTCTTTAGTATATTATTTAATTGGCAAACAATCTAAAAATTGAATTATAAGTGCCAATAACGTAAATGTATGCTACTAATGTATTACATTTGGCGTCAAAATAATAACCTAATTATGTTTAAAATATTTAATTTATTTTACAGCAATCTGTAACCGCCATTTTTCTTACTGAATTCACATGTACATATATGTAGAATGCACCAAACGTAACGAAATAACTAAACTTTATAAAGTAATAAATCTGTGTAGATAATTCAATTTTTTAAATGCCGTACTCAAGATTAATTTAATGGTTGCTTAACCTTTTGTGGGGTTGAATATCATCAAATGCCCCTTCCTCCCCTCGTGGTTGGGGCGACAGGAAGTCTCAAACTATTACTAACTAAATACCACTCTGCTCCTTCTCCTGGTCCAGGCCAAGGCCGCGGTACATTATAGCGCTTGCCCTTGCAAGCTGATCCCTTGACCCTGATTTGAGGAGGGAAAATAATTAAATCACTTCTCCTCCCTTAGGTTGGGCAAAATGGAGTGCCAAACTATTCCGTTCCTTTGAGCCTTTTTTCCTCTGAGCCGGGACCTTCCTTCCTTCCAGTTCCTTGTTATTAAGGAATAGTTTAAGTAATCATTAAATTATTTCCGAGTAGGTACGGCAATAAACGTTAGAGACCTTATCTCAATTTATTTGTAGTATTTTTTTGTAATAATATTATTTGTTCGATATTTTCAGGACACAACAGCCACGACTGCAAATCATCATAATGGTTGAGTGATGTGGACTGTGACAATTGAAAGTGACATTAAAAACAGTGACAATAAAGTTTAAAATACGTGAAACCCTATAATATATGTACGTAATAAATATATTATAGTTAGTGAGTGACACAGATCAAATTAAGAAGAACGCGACTCGTGTTCTTTTTATTTTGACCAAACGAAATAAATGGACGCTATTTTATAAGTAAAGTTAACCAAAGTTGGGACTTCATTATTCAAATAAAATTATTATTTCATTATTTTTATATGTAATAATCATTAAATATTCATCTTTTAGCTTTAATTCAATTAGATATATTTTTCAAGTATTACCTATCTGTATCTGATTTTTTTATATTATTATATAAGTACTAAATTTAATAGATCTTTGTAAATATCGAAATGTAAATAAAATGAATGAATAGTAACTTAGTTTGTTTAATTTACTTAATGAAACACAATAAAACTTTGGTTTGAAATAATAAGCTAAGTATACTAAAGTTACAGTTAAAAAGATATTCAAACTATTATGTGACGGGCTCTGGTTCAGATTTCGATGTGTTTCTAAAATATCTGAAGTATAGAAATTCAGCACTCCAAGAAATAATAGTTAGTAGAGTAACGAAGTTTAGTACTATGATTGGCATGATGTAGGAACCAGAGGACTCGCGCACTCGAGCTGAAATAAAGGAGAAACACAATTTAATTAAGTCAGTTTTTACAATAAACACATTTTAGAATTAGTATATGTTTCACAATTATAAGTATACAATATTAACTTTCATCGTTAGTTTTTTATAAGGCATAGCAGTCAAGGCAACAGATAAATGTAAATATATTTGATAGATTTTTGTCTATAAATAGAAGAAATACCTGATGGAAATGTTTAAATGGATAACATAAATTAAAATGAATTGTTCAATAAGGAATAAATCTACTCACAGATTTCTAACGAGAAATAATATCATCATTATCACGAACTATTTTTTTTATTGACTTTTTTTGAATGTATACTCTATCATTTGCAATTTTTATGCAAAAACAAATTTGTTAATACGTTGAAAAACTTAAAAAAGTAATTTCACGTGTAAACGGTCTCTAATGTCTCTTAAGTTAAAAGATACTTCTTAGAAACATAGTGTAGGTATGTTCCAAGTAGCTTTGATAGTTAACTAGTTCATGCCAAACAAAGGTTAGGCTAAAGATCAGAGTAATAAACTGATAGCTATAGGTTAGTGATTCAAGCCTAGTCTTTAGACATACTATGTAGGTGGTAGATAAGTACTGTATAAATTTGAACATATACCTGGAACTAAAACTTGCAACAACAGACATTAGAGGATAAACTTCGGACGTGTGGAAAATTTAGGTCTTTAGAAGGAAGAAAAATCTGCTAACGCCTGTTACTATTTTTTTTCAATTCATTCATTTGAAATTTGTTCTTGCTTACCTATATGCCTTTTGCATTTTATACATTGTACCGTTGCATGATATAGCCTAATTATAGTATTTCAAAAACTTTTTTTAGTAACGATTATAATATAATACAATTTTATATTAGCGACGATAAGATAGTCAATCGATTTATTGATAAGTTTGTCAACTTGATTAGTAACACAAAAATTATACAATACTTGCTAACCTGGCTAACTTCGTTCCGCCTCAAAATTAACTTAAGTTTACTGACCTTTAAAACCCTCCCTGGACTTCCACGAATAATTCAAGAGCAAAACTAGCCAAATCGGTAAAGGCATTGTGGAGTATATCGGTAAAGGATGTATGTAAATCGGTAAAGGAATATAACATTAACTAAAAGACATTGACATTGATTTTTATATATAGGTAAATATAATTTCAATTTATAGAATCAGGCGTTACTTTGGGGAAATCCATGACATTAAATGTTAGGAAAAATATTTAGTGCTTATTCAAATATTTAGTCTTTGTTCCGTTTTTTGTATGTGTGCATATGCATTGCTACCCTTGCTGCATGTGCATATGCATGATTGCATAAAAATGGGGATTGCATCCTGCAACAAGCCTGGTTTTTTGTCGCGGAATTAAAACTAAATATTTTTTCTAACATTTAAATATAATTTCATTGAAATCTTAAAAAAGAAAGTCTGTAAGAAATGGCGAATAAATTATTTTCATATTATTTATAAGACACTTTACCGACATATTTATTGTTCCTTAGTACATAATGTGTTATTTATTGCTATTTATTGACACTTAGTAGTTCACGAGAACAATAGCCGATAATGTCGTTATCAGTCAACAAAGTAGGTACTTACTCAATAAGGATCCGATTGTGAAAATCGTGATGCCACTGAAGAACATTTGGATTCCGGAAGCGAAAGCCAGTCTGTGTATGGGTACATAGTTCGGTATCACAATGTTGACATACACTGTTCTCAGGGCCTTCGTGATGCCAAGAGCCAGAGATACGAACAACATGCCCATGAAGGATGTTGTAAACAGCATCACTGGAAAATTGATAATGGAAAATTAGGATTTTTTTTTTGCAAAAAATTGAGAAAAGGAAAATTAGAAAAGTTGTTCTAAAAACATGGCCAATTGCCCAATTATATATCCTGATCATTTTTGTGTTGCATTGCACCATTACACATATTTATTTAAGGAAAATATTAAGAAATTATATCACATTTTTTTTTATTAGCATGTTAAAGATTGAAATTAAAGCATGGTGCCAAAAAAAGTATATTTTTTTTGCAAAAAATTGAGAAAAAGAAAATTAGAAAAGTTGTTCTAAAAACAAGGCCAATCGCCCAATTATATATCCTGATCATTTTTGAGTAGCATTACACCATTACACATATTTATTTAAGGAAAATATTAAGAAATTATATCACATTTCTTTTTATTAGCATGTCAAAGATTGAAATTAAGGCATGGTGCCAAAAAAAGTACGTAAGTTGTAAACTTGTAACGTTTAAATTTAAAATAAGAATTCGACAAACCATATCGGACGAGGCAATGCTTGAAATAAATATGTAAGTACATTACGAGTAAACTAGATAATATTTGTAAACGTAAATTTCCATACAAAGAGTTTACTAACCTACAATTGTCATTGATGTATGTAGGTAGGTACAAAAAACGGTAAGTAATAAAGAATTGTTGTATGTTTTATCTATAAATAGTGATGCAGTCGGTCGTTTACACACAACCTGTACTGATAAATATTTACAATTTTCCTTTAGGTAAAACTGTTATGTAGGCTCCCTTTGCTCAGGTATTGAAAATATTACCTATGTCGCAAATTTAACTCACGCTGATAAGTCAGCTATTTTGGGGGATTTCCTGTCCTTATAACGTTTGCATGTATACCTATATATGTAGATAAACGAATTAAAGATTAAATAATCAATAATGAAATAATACTTACTGGTTCTTGTGAAGATAATCATAAGTAAACTGACCATGTACATGACACGCGGTGACTTGTTGCACCATTCTCCGATAAATGGGGAAACGAATCGGAACAGCGTGTCTGAGAACCCAATCACGGACATCAGCTTAGCTATGTCGCTTGTTTCAAACTTCATCATGTCTTTAAGAATGATGGGCAGCAAAAGAGAAAAGTTGGTCTCAACACAAGCAGCTACTGATAGACCAAATATAATATTCACAAATATAGGATCGCTCAAAAGCGTCAAGTCGAAAAACTGAATGAAATGCTGTAAGTATCCTTTATGTTCCTTCTCTTTAACAACTTCTTTTTCACGAACATTAACTGCTTTCGAGTTTTCTGTTTCATTAAATATATTTATGGAACTACTCAGATTTATTTCTTGAGACTCCCACCATTTGTATCGTGATTCCGACAACGGAGCATCAGGCAATTTGTTACGAATATCAGGATGTGATATCGCGTTTCTGGTTTGAAGACTAGAACTACTCGTGAGTGATCGCATTGAGAGACTCTTGGACGGAAGCACACCATTTTCTCCAGATTCATCAACTAATTGTGGAAATGATGCAATGCCTGTAAAGATTTAGTGATATTATTCAAGAAAATATATTTCACAATATAAAATCCATTATAAATGAAAATTGATTCATACCAACAGTTTTAGATGATGGCGTTACACTGCCATTAACGAGTTCCACTTCCGGTTCCTTGTTAAGAGGCACTGCTTCTTCTGATGTGGGTGGATCTCTTAAGTACCACTTAGCGGGTCTAAGTAAACAAGCTGCTACTAGTGAATGGAGGCAAATTGCGCTTAAAATTAATACTGCGTATCTCCATCCATAGGCGTACATTAATGTACTCATTAGTAAAGGCATGTATATAGAACCTAATCCTGTTATTGACATGCCAACACCAACGGCTCTTCCTCTCTTCTCTTTGAAAAATGAATTAATTGCTAATGTAAACGCCGCCATGATAGCAGCTACGCCCGTTGCTAAAATCAAAATAAAATTATGTGATTAAAAATAAAAAGACATCAAAATAAAATGTATTTTTATCTATAAGGTATACTTACAACAAATAATACTGTATGATAATATAAATTGCCAGAATTCAGTTGCAGCTGACATAATCATTAGACCAGCTGATATACAAATGGCGCCCAACACGGCAACCTTTCTGTACCCAAAACGACTTAGCATGGGTCCACCAAAAAATGACAGGAGCATACCAATGCTGTGGTTTAATACGATGACGAATGTGACCTGTGTGGCTGTCAGATCAGTGTCATTCAACACCAGAGCAAACCCGGCGATTAAGGGAAGTACAACAACCTGGAAAAATATAAACAAATATAATGCACCACGTTTTTCTAAACTTACGAAAATCATAATTTTCATAGCATAGCTTATTAACAAATTCTGTGGTACTTTTATAATAAAAAAGATTATTATTTATTATTATTAAAATTTACGTGTATTTTATTTCAGTACATATTCCCACAAAACCGGTTTAACGGTTTGACTGAGGATGGCGTGTGGCATTGTTTTACAAGGTTTGTATTAAAACTAACTACTTAAATGATGTTATCTAAGAAGTATTTTCTAACTTAATTTTAAGCGAAATATTTTTTATTTTTTGTCTAAGATTAAAATTCAAAATAATTTATCCCAACTAAACCATAAATATGTGCTTTTGAAAGGTCAACATAGAATAGGTAGTAGTCTATTACTAGTGAAGCTAGGTGCTCGCTCCAAATTGTAGATTCGAGTGGAGAAGGATGAGCTAGAAACTCCATCTCATTATTATCTGCTAGCAAACTAAGCACGTAAGGATCTCGTTTCTTAGGATACAGAGTTTTATCTGTGTAGAGTTGAAACCCTTCATCGTGTAGATATGAGTATCTTTCGTCAGCAGTGAGTACTTAATGACCGAAGTTGCATGGACGGAATGGATACGAATGTGACGGGGACGGCGTCAAGGATAACAAGTCTGTTAGTTTTATGTTCTTACCTATAAGAGCCAATAATTAATTGGTACTAGGAGACGCATATGATAATATTGAACGAAAAGGGCAAGGGTTGTCGACATGTTAACAATAACAAACTGACTACTTAATAACAAAGTCTTGCTAGAAGAACAAGGCATCTAGTCCTTTCCTTTTTTTAAGTACCTATCTGATGCAAATACCCCTGCAAAATGTTTTGCAAATTGCTAGTAAAGACATTGTATGTTCCATTATTGGGTGCTCTTTCTGTTTTTTGCGAATTAAAGGAGTTTCATATTTTTTGTGTAGATATTTTTAAGTATGTTTAGGTAGGTAAGACTATATTGATTTTACTTTAGTTTGAGATCTAAATTTTAGTTAGACACGTCACATTGACATTCAGAAGTGTAGCAGGTAAGTGTTGGTGATGAAACCGTAAATACACCTGCTGATTAAAATAAAGAAATATATCTACCTACTGTTATGTAAAATTAGAATTACTGCGATAGCTCGCTGATATACTTATTTAATCAAAGATTATGAGTGGCGTCACCATTTGTCATTTAATGCAATTAATAAGTAAAAATGTCTAATCCAGGATTGCTGTCGTGTGGCAACGGATATCTACTGATCAGATAAGATGTTTAAATACTTTGAATCAATTTTTTAAAACAATTTGCATATTAAAAAGTCCTAGGTAGGTACCTACCTGCTACGAAATGAATTGTAATGTGTGTACCTTATCAGTAGATATTATTGTGAAAGTAAATATTGATAAAAATTGTTCTTTGCAAGAAGAAAGGTTTTTTGGTTTTGTGTTTTATTTTCTTTAAGATTATTTCTTTGTTTATGAATATAAAGATCGGCCACAAGGTCATCGAACCGAGAATTGATTCTGAGAAATATTAAAATAAAAACTAAACTATAGATGTTTTTTTTAACTCTTGACGTTTTGATCATTTAGAAAAAACAAAGCGGGAAAGACCACATCGGGGTATAAGAGGAATGTGTTCAAAAACAAACATTTAGTTAAGAAAGAAAGGAGATAAAAAACACTTATTCACCAGCGCAGTTTTAAATAAACGTTTTCTTTGTTTTGTGTACGTAATGCTGTGTATTTTGGTCACGAGTACCACGTATTTTACCTTTGACCCCAAAAATAGGTTTTAAATGCTAATGTCGTTAGTCTTGATGCGACATACTTCGTTTATGTTGGTACAATGGCTCAAAAATCTTTATATTTAGATGATTACAAGTCATGTCAGTTTACACACGAATTACACTTAATATAACACTGTATTCAATTGATAAGAACAGTCTCAGTAGTCTGCTACATAATTATTATATTATCGTGTTTCTAGACCTAGTTTTGCGTGAATGATTCTTAAACAAATAAAACGATCATATAAGTATGTTCTAGATATTTAAAATCCTTAACATTAATTTTAAAGATGTAATTAATAAAATTACTATGTAATTTAATGGTAATATTTGAAAAAAAAAGTGTAGGTAGGTACTTACATTGTTCATAGCGTAAGCTATGGTCACAATCCATCCATAGCCCCCATCAGGGGGAACTTTATTCGTTTCAATTCTCGACATTTTAGAATTCGAAATCACCAATCACATTTCTCGAAACAATATTTTTTTTACTAAATATTACGTAAGTTTCGAATTTAACGTCAGTTCACAAACAATGCACATTTTTTTATCACTCGAACACAACAATTTTAATTTGTGGTTCCTACAGAGATTATTGACCTTTAATTTAAATTAAATTTTTAACACTTAATTAAACACGTGAATGTTTGTAGCACTGTCTTCATGTTGTGTTGACGACAGACACTGTAGGCGCATAGCAAATATTCACATTCGTTATCGGTTTGACTTTCGTAATGTGTCTCGTTATCGTTAAAATGTTATTACGTGCTCACACGTATTTAGGTCTATCAAATTAAATTATCTGATTCAGTGTCGATCTAGCTAACGTTTGACTCGGATTATGATACTTCAAGTGATGTTTAGATTTTAATTTTGTATCGATTATCGTATAGTTTCGAAACAACTGACTTTTTAGTACATTTTAGTTTATAAATTATATGTGAGAGTTATTCATTTAGAATTAGTTAAATGAATAACTCTCACCTATGAGTGTAACTGGAGGTGTAAGTTCCATTTAATTTAGGTAGTATTACAATAGATGAAATGTTATGAGGAATAAATAAATCCGAAAAAAGAACCAAATACTTGGTAGTGAGTGGCCAACTTATATGTGTAACAATTAGCACAATATTCAATAAAAAAAGATATCCCTTCGAGGAATAATAAGCAGATTGGATGTCAGCTGTCAAATTACAAACGACATCAGTCAATTTGTAATTAATTGGATCATCCATACATAGTGAAAGGTTTCACATTTTACTACGTAATTCTTTTAAAAGATGAACGGTGATCTGTCGTCAAGTAATACGGAGTCCAGGATAGATATATATTGGATATATATTAGTATCGATCATATTAAAATATTGATTATCTAATTGTTTGAAACAGCTGAAATGTTCCAAATCTCTGATTAAACGGTCACGCATGGTATTATAATTTTATCTTTTCCTACACAGGTATTGATAAAGAAAATAATGAGTAAGTTTAGCCACGATAATCATGTTACCGATCCGATAATATCTTTTCTTACATTATTCAACTAAATATTAGGTACTCTTACTAATTACTATTACCACCAAACTTTTGGTCTTTACGTGTGTGTATAGGTAATAGTAATCAAAGTAGGTAAGTAGTCGGTACTTAATTTTTATTCCAAGATTCTTGTTTAGGCTGTCTTTTATGTATGAGCATATATTACTGTAACGTGAAGTTCGATTTGTTTAACAAAACGAATCGAGCAATCGGCCAATCCTCATTAGTGCTTGAATTTCAGATAAAGGAGAGAATGCGATATCGAAGAGATGAGTAGTACCTTAAATAAACTAAATGTACCCACAACAGAGGAGAAAATCCAAAAGTGGGGGGCAACGTTTTTTTTTTAAAAAACATAAACAAAAAAGTATAAATTGTAATTTCTACTAGGTAGGTACGTACATATTGACCATTTTTTATTTTTTTAAACTATGTATGCAATAAGTACTTTACATATCTAACCATAGCTAAATAATTGATGTTGAATCCTTATTAAGTAGGCTGTACTTAGGTACTTTTATTTTCTTATTCAACGACCTGTATGTATTATCCTATGGTGGGCTTTATTAACGAATAAATAAATAAGTAGTAGAACAAGTTTTCAAGCTTTCAAGTTTAAGAATATATTCATTTTTCTTTATTTGTTTGATAATTTTTGAAATAATTAAACAATGAATTTATTATTGCAGGTAGGCTATAAAACAACACTTTTACACGTCAATTTATTTAGACATGCCGAAACCAACTTTGAGGTCCGTCAGTTTTAAAGTCCAAATTATCTTAAACACTTTTTTCGGTTGTTATTCTTTGGCATAAGTTCGTCTATAATTGCGCAGACATAACCCTCGGTTTCAACAAATAAGTTGCGGTAAAGTAACCAGGACTCCAGCGCTAAGAAACATACATATGTCTGGCCTATATAGAGCGATAATAAGCGTCCGTGCAGCTCCTTGCTTTGCCACCCAGCCTTGAGATCCTTAGTTTTCTTCAGTTGTCTTTAGAAAAGGACAGAAAGACAGCAAAGTAAGTTATTTTTCAACTCCGCCAACACCTTGATCTATCCCCATTTCATTTATTGACAAATGCGAGACTGTTGTGGAGGGATTTTCGCACTTAATACGTTTCTTTCCAAATTTACTTAGAATTGACAGCCTTATTAACAATAATCCTGGGTGATGCATCCGATCCTCAGTCAGCTAAGAATTAACCTTTCTCTTCTAATTCTGTCTGAATCCAGTTGACTATTAAACAAAGAGAGAGAGAGAGAGTAGTAAACAAGTACCTATATCAGTCACCTGGCCAACCATTATAAGCGTGCACCTTGTTACCGCCTGAATAAAGGACAATTAAATTGAAAATTTCGCAGACGGCCAAAGAAACGTTCCCGCAGCGATTATTTCATGGCAACCACATCGATGCCCAACCTTCTAATAGGTATACAACCCAAGTTGGTAAGATTGGATTCGGTAGTTTTTACCTAGTCAAATTACCTAATTACTTTTATTTGCATGTCAATTTTGTAAAAAAATCGCAAAATATAAAAAAACATTATTTAGTCCAACAACATACTTATAAATTAACATAATTATAAAAAGTTAACTAGAAAATATTTAAAAATAATTATATCGCCCAACTAATTGATTAAAGTATGATCATCTACTTATACTTTAATACCTAATTCACTGTATTGAAAAGTCAAAATAATTTATTTTTGACAGAATTCTTATTCTTGACATCAGCTACATTGTTAAACATTGCCTGTCTACAAAGGTAGGCGTTACTCTGAGAGTAAGAGTGATTACCCCAGCCTTACAGAATACCGGCGTGAATAAAACTAGTGATATAATTCACTATGTGACTGAGCTTACCGGGGGTAGCCGATCCCTCATTTATCCCTAATTTCTAAATTCGGGATCCTCAAATACAATCGACAAAGGCCAGCAGTTCCTGTGATTTTTTGATGGTACGGCGGGTGGCATCACCAATTATATGTTGGCATCAGGTGATAGGTAAGCTCTTTGCCGACATCTACCACAAAATATTCGATATTTATTAAAAAAAATGATTGACTTTCGATTCAATCCGTGACTCATTGCTAACAAATAAAAGAAGGCGCACGACAAATTGAAAATAAATTAAAATATAGAGTCGTTATTTCTCGATAAATTTTATATTACACTATTATACGCATTTGTACCGGATCCAATGTTGTTTTGTTTTATTCTTATTTATATGTATATTAAGCTCTTTGGTTGTTAAACAACATAATAAAATTTTTATCCAATGATCAAAATTGAACACTTTTACTGTCACATAAAGATCATATTAGGACAATCACAACACAACACTAGAAATGTAATCCAATCACATTATTTTGTCAATTTTAAACGCAATGAAAGGGCGCACACGTCGGTCTGCGCCCGCACACCGACGAATTTAGTTTGACCTGTTAACACAGCCATTGCTCGGCTACAAACGAGTTTACAACCGAGCAACCGACACGGGTTAATCAAAATCCGGCGGCTATTAACCAATGATGCATCATTGGACCAATAGTCACACAAAGGTTATTTCCTTCATTTCACTGTTAACTAGCTTCGTTGTTAGGAGAGCTCTTGACCGAAGTCGGTTTCCGTTTACTATCACCTATTGTTTGAATTCACTACTCATATACTAGTTCCATGAACTGTACTTAGGGTACAATATTGTGGCTCAAGGTAGTTGTTTCTCTATAACTTAATACTTGTTTAAGCTAGACTTTCATGATTCATAATTCTTTGTATCTATTGGTGTTATATTGAACGAGAGACATACTCAAGGACCTGATTCTGGTGCTGAAATAAAACAATATTTTATAAGGCCAATATGGAAAACAAAAAATCAGTTATTGCGATTTGTTTGGGGAGATGAATTTATTTTTGATATTTCGATATTGGTCCCATGGAAAAAGTTGTTGTAGGAAATTGAGCACCAAAATCGGCTCTTCCAATATGCCTCTCGTTCAAAATGTCACCCTGTGCACAGCCCTGTGTAAGTGCATAAACTGTAATGAAGCATAAAATTTAGAGTAAACATATGCAACATGTATATATATATACCTATATGTAGACTAGAGCATAAACGATTCTCATTACGTTAATTACACTTTTAGGGATAACAAACTCGCCCAATGCCCAATTGTTATCTACCCACATTCAAAAAAACTTGAAGTTCTGTTTTAAAATAATTTAACTTATCATAACACATGCTACATCTGGCCGGCGTAAATTGTGAAATAAACAAACGACAATTATGAATTTATTAAAATGTCACAAGGAATTTTAATCGGGTCAAGTTTCTGCGCCTAATCGTATTTGATAAAACATTTATAATCTCACGTGTCTTTTGGGCGTCGACACTTGATTGATACTTAAAAAAATATTTGTTTATTTAAGTTAATTTGACGAGTTCTTAAGGTTAATTGGATTATTTTGTTCTATTAATCAAAGACGTTCAAAAATAATATCAATGTACTTATAACAACTTAAAACAAACATTAAAAATAATAATTAAGCTTTAACAATTTCTTTTTCGACCATCTTCTGTCGTCTTGCTGTTATGAATTTCTCTAGGCCCCAGGATATGGCGGTTAGCCACGTGAAGATATTAAGACAGTGTAGAGTTACTGCTGTTGATGCATTATCTTTTATCCAACCTGAAATAAAGGAAGAAGTAACTTTAACACAATTCCTTTTCATTCATCTTATACATTTGGTGAACCCGTGCTGGTCTACGAGTAAAGACCTAAGTCACGTAGCTGAAGAATAATTAGATCCAGTATGTATTGCACCTTTATCTTTAAGGTATGATGATTAAATTTGACAAACATTATTAGCAAATTTAAGTCTCAATTTATGCAATACTTATTAGTATAGGGTTGAACAAAAACTTATAGGCTGACTAACTAATGTATATTTAAGCACACAACTGAAAAGTTTTCAACAACAGGTAAAATATGAATGTCACATAATTGTTATTAAGTAATACACATCCGTAGCAGAAAATGATACCTCTTCGAAAGCGGTATCCCTTGTCTTGGAAAAATATAAGATAAGAAAACCTCAGAAGAATAGTTAATCCTTCAGTTACGGATTACACTCACCAACAACTGGTCCCAGAGTAAGATAGACCATTCCAGCCGTAATCAGCTGTATCCCTGTAGCCCCCGGTAGTTTATGTAGCGGCACGTGTGTCGGTATCACAAGGGCCATAAATACAGTTCGCAATCCTTTGCCGAAACCAATCATTACAGCCACTAAGAGAACCACATAGTACTTCTGACAGTAAGCCAACACTGAAAAGATGAAAGACTGTCAACTACATAAACAATATTTTATAAGCATCATGTAAAAGCACTCTCTGGAGTACCATATATAAATTAAAAATTTGCTAAATTGACTTATAGACTGATTAAAACTGAACTACATATATGTATGTAAAAGAAACCTTATCGAAATCGGTTCATTCAAACATAATAACAAACAAATAAATACCTATCTTGGGGTTTAAAACACAATATTACCTACCTACTCTTCCCATGGCCATCGACATCACACCAAAAAGGAAAAATGAATTATTATCCCATCCAATTTTACCAGCAACGAATGGTATGCAGAACCTTACACAAATATCAACCCCAGCTAAAAGAGACATGAACAATGCTACTTCAGATTTACTTTTACCATAATCCCCTAGAATAAATGGAGTCAAAATGGAAAAATTTAATTCATTAAAGTTTGCTAGAGTTATACCCAACATAAGGTTAATGAATGTATAATCTTTTAATAAGTCTAAATCAAAGAATAATGCTACTTTTTGACAAAAGGTTAATTTCTCCTCTTCGTCTTCTTCTTCATCTTCTTTTTCTTTTATTTCATCCTCTTTTTTCTCGCCAAAAACATTGTCGTCGTCATCCATTTGTGTAATTAATATTTTGATCTTATCGTTTTTGTCCTCACTTTCTTTTAAATACTGTTCCAACTTCAGCGATGCTTGTTTCAAAACTTCACTTTCATAATTAAAGTTATTTGATTTCCTCCTGTGTCGTGTTCTGTACGACTGGTTGCTATGGTTATCTTTTAAATATTTCTTCTCATCAATTTCATCAGGCTCCTTTCTTAATGATATATTACTATGATTATCCTTATTATATTTCTCTCCATATTGGCCGTCCATTTTAAAAGATTTTATGCTTTTGCTTCCTGCAAAATGCTTTTCGGCTTTATCCGCTATAACTTTAGCGTGGGCTGGGTCGATTTTTTCGACGACTGCTTTTTCATCAGCTTTCAAATCTTGTGGGGCCTTTAATGTAGGGCAATCCTCTATTTCAGATTCTGGAATTTGTGTTTCCAGAGTAATAGAGGTTTTTCGTTTTGGTTTGTAAGTGTCGCGCTCTTGAGCCAACGCTCCTAAATTAGCTGATGAGTTTTTCTTCGATTCATTTAAGTACGCTCCCAAATTAGCGGATGAGTTTTTCTTCGATTCATTTAAGTATGCTCCCAAATTAGCGGATGAGTTTTTCTTCGATTCATTTAAGTACAAAGTTGATGACTTACGAGATCGATTTTCAACCAAATTAGTCATCGAGGGCTTCTTAGAATTTAGCCTAGAATTCATCTGAGAATTTTTGTTCGATCCTTCTCTTGACGAAAGCCTGCTTTTAGATTGTCTAGACTGACTAAAATAGCCATCGTTAGCACGCAGCATCATAGGCACACCAGGGTCTGTAATCTCATAACCAGGATTCACTGGGTCATCTTCATTATAGAGATATTGACTTGAAAATGCACTTAAGTTTTTAAACTTTGACATTTGACTGAAGTACCCACTCTCTTGCTTTTTACTTTCCACCTTTTCATCTTTAGTATCGCTTTTCAAAAGTTTTTCTTGATCTTCATCTTTTTCATTTGGTTTTTTGGTATGCCATTCTACAGGTTGCAATAAGAGAGCACAAGCTATTGCATGTAAGGAAATTCCACTTATAATAAGAATGGCTCCTGTCTCTCCGAAGACAGCAAAGAGACCCGTGATGATATGTGGCCACATGATGGGCCCCAGGCCGGTTGTCGTCCATGATAGACCAGTTGCCAATCTTCTTCTGTTTTTCCAGTAGGTGTTTAATGCGAGGGCATTTGCGGAACTGCTTATACCGTAGCCAGCACCTGTAATGACAAATAATAATTAAGTAATATAACATGTTACTTTTACAGGATGAAATAGAAAATGCTAGAAAATCTTACCATATAAAATTGAGAATGACACGAGATAGGTGACGAAGTTGTAAGAAAATGTAGTCAAGATAAGTGATATGAACACAATCGTAGCTCCTGCCAAAGACACCTTTCTGTAGGTAAAGGTTTTAAACAGCGGACCATTTGCTAGACCTGAAAAGGAAACAGACATAAATGGCTTAGATAAGTTTTATTTCAGAATTATGTTCAATGCTACGAGTTTGTGTGCAAGGTAATTCATAAAGTTGTTTAGATATTTAGATAAGGCCAATAAAACATAAAGGTAGGTATGCGTATGCCTTTTAGATACACAAAATTATAAAAGAAAAATGTTCTTCATATTATGATAATACTTTGTAGTCGGGGTGGGTCGGTGACAGTGAAAAGTCCTGTTACGCGGCATAAACTTTAATAAAACTATATAAAAATTACAAGAGACACACGCACCCAAAACTGTAAAGTCCGCCATAACTTTTCTAATACTCCGTCGGCCAATCAGCGGCCAGTAACATAACGCCACTTGGCGCGTATTTTAAAATACTATCGCGCTGGCGAATAGCGGTCGGGCGGCTTGCCCCTATTGGACCGCTTACGACCAGGGCTAAGGAGACGTTCGGAAACGTTATCCGCTATACACTCCCCCTCGGGTTCATGCAGGCGTCCTCGCGCAGGAACCCGCTCCTGATCGGCAGAAACAGGCTTGACATGACGAGGCCGGCCTCGACTACGTTTCGGCATAATTGGTAGAGGCGGGCTATCGTAACTATTAACGAATCCCGTAAGCTGTAAAGCATGGGACCTACCCAAGATCTCGTCCGGAGAATCAATTTCAGACAATAGGTAAGTCGTAGGACTATCTTTCTTTACTACCTTATAGGCACCGTCCTTTTTCGGTACAAACTTACCCGATAATCCTATAGCAGCGTTACTCAATACGTGCGACTTTACCAATACTTGATCACCGACATCAAATTCTACAGGTTTACGACCCTTGTCTGCATAATCTTTATGTCTATCCCGTTCTTTTTCTGCCTTAATTTTAAGTACACTACTAATAGGCACACTATCAGCCTGATGTGAAACGTTTTCAAAGGGGAGATCAAACTGTTCAACACTGTCAGAAAAATGCCACTTCAAATTACCAAAATCAACAGATATGTTAAAACTTATCAAAAAGTCAATACCTAGAAGTGATTCATTATCATTCGACTCCGGAAAAATTATAAAACGAACGAGCCTGGTTCTACCTTCAAGAGTAACATTTACTTCGGTAGTTAGTACATTCATTAACCTAAGTACACCATCCGCTAGTTTTACATTTTCCATACCGGAGGACATAGGATGACCTTTGGCCTTTAGGAGAGCGTATAGCGTATGACCAGCGACACAGCTTTTAGCTGCCGAATCTAATAACGCGGTACCATTCTCCCCTAAAATACTAATATTTAGCACGGGCCTTAAAAAGGATCGAAACTCGCGATTACCATTCAATGGTTGTCCACCACTGGCAATTCCGCACAAACGTTGACAATTATCGTTCTGTAATACAAAATGTTGAGAAGCACTGGCATTCTCAGAAAAAGGTTGACTACCGCTTGCGATTTGTGAAAAATGTTGAGAGTCGCTGATATTGTTATCAAATGGTTTATAATCATCGGCAACAGGCATAAAGTCGCGAGCGCAAGACTTTGAACCGTCGGAACTACCAGGATGCGATTGACAACCATTAAACGATACCGACCGTGAAGCACTAACACTAGAATGCAACGGTAACGCGGCCTCCCCCTGGTCGCAAGCAGTATAAACACATTTTAAATTCTTAGTACAAACACATTTTACATTCTTGGTACAAACACATTTTACATTCTTAGTACAAACACACACATTAGTTTTAGTACAAAGACGAATACAATTTTTACGTAATACAGAACGATTTCGATTGTCAATACAATAAAAAGAATTTTCATTAAAACTATTACAATCAGTACGAGAACTAGTGACACAAATCCCTGCGCCTCGCACGGCTGCGGGGTTACCTCGAACACTGTGCGGCGACGACGCGTGTCGCTCGACGCTCGGACACGTAGGCGCGCCCGCTGTACCGCCAAACATCACGCTACCTCGCGGCAGCGGGGTAGGCGCATGGTGCGGTCGCGGCGCGCTGCCGTCGGGGCCGGAGCGTATGTCGCTACGTACGCGCGGCGTACGGTGCGACCTGAAGCAATCGGTGGGTGCACGAGAATCACGTGCAGAAGTAAGCGAATAAAATGCCGAATGTCCATTGTTTTTCACATTATTGGCATTACACTTCGGACACTTAGACTTAATTATATTCGCGGCACCACAACCGTAACACTTAATGTCTTTTTTAAAATCACTGTTAGATTTATTTTGGTCACTATTCTTCACTAATTTCTCGCACGTTTCCTTTGTGTGACCGCTACGTTTGCAGTAAACACAGAATAACTTGGTGGTCCCTGTCTTTTCTGTCGCTGAATCGCCCATGCGACCAGAAGCGACAACAGCGGACGACCGGGAAGCAGTACTCGACGTGTAGGTACGAACTCGCGCTGGCTCGGCCGAGGCGGCGACGTTTGACCTATCTTCACTATGAGACGACGGCTTAAGACTAGGGCGACCGTTTTGTGACTCATTTAAGGAGTCTTCTACGGCGCGTGCCTTTTTCAACAATTCCTCGAACGTTGTAACCGTAGCTCTGTCGACGCGCTTCCTGATACGACGATCCAATAATCCGTAAGCCATGTCCAACTCGACGCGTTCGCATAAATCTCCTTGTGGTAACTTCGCGAACAAGGCACGAACTTTTGATATAAACAAATCCGTGTTTTCAGTGCCTTGTATCTGTGAAAACAGTTCGATATAAATGCGAAATGGTGGGCGACGCTCGCCATACGCACTTCGTAATCGCGTGATGGCTTCTTCCCACGTTTTTGTCGTGCCCTTAACACCTTGCCACCATGTTCCCGCCGATGAAGTGAGCAGCATCGACATACCTAAGAGAGCGTTCTCGTCGCTTATGCTTAGGCATGACTTGTAAACCTCGATTGCATCTATAAAGTTGTCAACGGATTCCTCCGGACTGCCACTAAACTTTGAAGTGCATTTCGAAAAATTTGCTGTGGACTTCATAATAGCCGCAGCGGCGTTGGCGGTGGCGACAGATGTACTTGCGTCGGCTGACGAAAGCAATGGCGTCGACGAACGAACTTCGCGTAAAAGTTGTTGACAAAACTCTGCTTGCGATTGTTGGATTGATGTCAGCAGCTTGGCAAGGACGTCTTGTGGCATCGTAATGTTGCTTGACTGTTCCGGTTCGGAGTCCTCGTGTACAGACTCGTTGGCGTCGGTATATAACGACTTGCGTCTTCGCGGCATTTTGCAAACCAATATGTACCTACTTTTCGACAAAGGTAACAAAAGTACGGCTCGTGGTTGTACCAACCAGCAAAAACCACTCGTAGACACAAAACAATAGCAAAGTCACTGTCCATACACAGTTTTTAGCACTTGTCGGTCGTTTTATACCTAACTTTTCGACATGAACGAACTTGCAACGAACGAAAAAAGTTTGATCCGCGAACAATAACACTTTGACCCTTGTTTTATACTAAACACACGTTGGAGCGCCAGGATGTAGTCGGGGTGGGTCGGTGACAGTGAAAAGTCCTGTTACGCGGCATAAACTTTAATAAAACTATATAAAAATTACAAGAGACACACGCACCCAAAACTGTAAAGTCCGCCATAACTTTTCTAATACTCCGTCGGCCAATCAGCGGCCAGTAACATAACGCCACTTGGCGCGTATTTTAAAATACTATCGCGCTGGCGAATAGCGGTCGGGCGGCTTGCCCCTATTGGACCGCTTACGACCAGGGCTAAGGAGACGTTCGGAAACGTTATCCGCTATAACTTGCTTTTTGTTCGGTATAGTTTACATTTATACAACTAAAGATCGAATGTTAAACGTTGGTTTATTGCAAAATTACATGAATACAACGATAACTTTAGATAACTTTTAAATCCTTGTATATGCAAATACAATGTAAATAAACAAATTTCGCTAGCGGCTATGTTTGTGCGAAGTATTTTGTTGACAATTGTGTAGGTATAAAAATGATAGCTAATTATGAAGGGGCCGGTATGGTATCAGAGAGTTACCATGCAAGGCGCGTCACGCACCGACGCAAGAGGTCAGGGCGGAGTTCATGTTGATTATAGTGGTCGTTTCGGAACTGCTGATGCCGAGGCGAGCGAACTTGTCCCGGAACAAGAGTCCGAACTGTTGTAGTATCGGCAGCGCAGACAGCTGGAAAAGGAAACTTATTCTAAATTAACATACCCACTTTACTTGTGAAGTATTTATGCGTAATTATTTATTAGAGGTCCTATACAACATTATAAGATTCTATAGACTCCTAGAATCTAGATTAGTCTAGAACATTTAATCATTGATATTAATTGCCACTCCTCAGACATTATATTACGTATGTAAGTACTCATATTTTCTACATGTATCTCTATATTATTACGTATACGAATCACGTGTTTTCTTATTAAGATTAATTTTATCACAGGAAATTAAACCTGCAATTAAATTCATGGGAGCGATAATGGAAATCTTTCTAGACGTAGCTAAGGACGAAGTTACCAATGCATTTCTTCAGAGCATGAGTAATGTATTATTATCAGGAATACTTAGTAAATATTGAGGCAAATTATGTATTTAGGTGTTAAAACACTTGAAAAACATAACTAGTTCACTGTAAAAGTACTTAAACTACAAGCTAATGCCTAGTTATTTATTTATTCTTGTTGTAAGTGCTTGTTTCATTTACTAATATTAAAACTGACCACGTCCATTATTCTGAAAAGTCATACTCAGGAAACAGTTGGTGCATCAACTATGGTTCAATAGGTATAGGTAATGCAAATGTGCATAATAAAATGTTTCTATGTACAGGTAAGGTACGTGTATTTTCCTTAACTCCAGTATAGAAATAAATTCTGAGATGAACATCAATTATTGGCAACTTGTTATTGGTGTGAGTGTTTAATGCTAATATGAACAAAACGTCTGTTCGTTACTATGTTTCTATGTAAATAAAATTTAATTATTTGGACATAGCAACATTGTTTCACTACCGTCATAAAAGTAACTGAGAAATTACGTTCTAAATTCAAAAATTTAATACGTAATTTTTCAAAATAAAACAGTAACGCACTTATATAATTGCCGACGCAAACGCGATAAAAGTGAATTTATCTTTTATTTAATAAAGATTAAAGTCAAAACACGATCAGCCACCTATCAATCTACAGTCGATCCTGCACAATATAAATAATCCATAGATCTGTGCAATAACATTTTTTTGATAACACACATGATAATTACAATAATTACTCGTAGTCGTACCTAGTGCCTACATCGATTTTTAATCACAATAAATATGCATCACCCGTAATCAGGGTTCTTTTTTATAAATAACACCTTGCCTTTTAGTAAGCATTTAAAGTACTTTTCAAGCGCCTAAACCTTTCCCATCTAAGGTAAACAGAAAGTTTTCAATTTTGTACAATTAATCTGTGATTTAGGTAATTAGTAGGGAGAAGTGGTCTTATAACAATAAAAACACACAGTCGATTGGAATCTTGTCTGATTGGTGGCAATACAATAAAATGCCATAAACGTACGTACCTAGCTATAGTGGAGTGCAAAGTTTATATTTTATTTACTAGCCTTGCAGAGTACATTAGGTACCTATGTATACATCTTGATTGAAGCTCGTTTATTACTTTGCTACTAGGCAATTATAAAATATAAGAAATACTTACGTTAGAGAACCCAGCCGCCACGACGATCATCCATCCCCAACCACCATCAGGGGGAACGAATTCCCCCTCTTTCTTCAGTTTTGATTTTACTTGTTTAGCTTTTGTCATATTGAGCTTATCGTTATCAGTTCGTGTTTGTATGAAGCCCACTACAGTCTTCGACTAAGTTACGGACTGAACTGATAACTTTTGAAACAGTAATCACTTTAATACGACAAATGAATCAAATGAGTCGGCATATACATATATGTGTTTCCTGGAACAAAGAGACTAGTTCACTATGCACACATATTAACTAGAATGACTAAAACCATTGAGTGTTTTGTGTGACTGATGTGTATCCGTTGTGGTTATCTAGATGCATAGGTACTATGTGAATCTGTGTTAGTAAACTAGCATTTACCTCGTGCATGACCCATGGTTACCGAGCACAGTCTGATACACTACATTTACATACTTACGTTACTTACTTGCTTGTAGTACCTACTACAATTTGTTCTATTTTCCATTGCATCTTATTGATTATATGCGTATATAGATTTTTGCTTATATCTAGCTCTTGTTGCTAGAGAACCTATGCCTTCCACGTCTCTAGACCGACATTAATGAGCTCAATGATAGCTTGCTTGCATCTTTGTACTGCTCTTGGTTATAATAATATGTAGATCATTTTATTGTGTAAGTACCTGTATAAACTTCTTTTTCAGATAAATACTTAGATGTAAGCGAAGACGCGAATTCTCTTAAGACATATTTTTTTGTAAAACTTTAATTCCCATATGAGTTAACAATATTTATATGTAGAGTCATAACATAACATGTCCAACTTTGTTGTGCATGTGGATTTAAAGTATCATTATATTGGCTGTCTGTAGATGTTATCAGCTTATCATTATCAAACAGTCACTAATTGAGCAATGCCCTTATACATATGTTACCTATCTATCAGTCTTTGTAAGCGTGACGACTTATGTAGGTAGCCACAGTTTTACATCAATCAAAAATTATTGGGGTCATCAGTCATACAATATTTTAAATGTGTATCAAATTATTGTACCTAATTCAGGAGATAAGTGTGAGACGTTTCCGAGATAATAATATGTTTTGAGTTTTAAAGCAATATGATAATACACTTTTATACCTAATTAGGTAACGAAGTTTTGTCGTTTCATGATTGTGATTAAAATATGAATATTTTGTAATAAAATACCGCTAATACAAGACCATATAGCTTTCACTGCCAATAATAATCAATGAAACAATGAATTTGTTTTTGCAAATAGGCCATAAAACGGCATTTTTACACGTCAATTCATATGTCAAAAACTAGATGAAGCCGAATCAGATCTTCATGTAGAGCCAAGCTTTTGACCTTATATGTCCAGCCCAAAAAACATGTTGGTGTTCAGTCATATGGACGTAGCCCACTATTATCACATCAAACAGTCAAATATATTATAATGATTGTGAAATATGAAATACCAACCCTAGCCCGGAATCCGTATTATGTAGCACCGTTTGCCCGCTATTGATGTCGTAGCGATGCAAACCGTGGCAAATACCGACTGTCGAGATGGGAGTATCTACGAAAAAAAAATACTTTACAGTTTAGTCAAAATGCGTAGCCATTTAATTACTACAAGAACTAATAAGTAACATAATTTTCACGTTTGTGAAAAATGAGTTAACCAGCTGGAAAACGCTAGAGCGCCGCAGCTTAACTGACCATGCTGTTAAAAAGTCGGCGGTTAAGGCAAAATGTGTTTTTTTATACGGAATGTAAATTTTCAAACATCTGCGTTTGAAGTGTGATACACACATATAAATCGAAATAACTCGTAGTGGTATATATTTGAAAGTTTTAACCCGCACCCTCACGCATTCCTGCTAGCCTCACCTCTCATGATTAAGAAGCAGGTGTACCTATGGAGTGTGAAACACCCATGCTACTACGACCTAATAATATATTATATTATAACTAAGTAATTTGTTTTTGGCTTAAATTGCTCAAATCGACAGTAGGAATAATGAAGCTCTTAGGAATGTCTGCCTTTTTAACTTACGACAGACATATTGAGTAAAATAAAATGATAAATGTTATTAATGTGAAGTTGGCACAGAAAGAGTCGTGGGGTATGGCCACTATTAATCGAATATGATATGAATATTTCACCTAAATTTCACAACAGTTACGGTAAATCTGATAAACAATGGCAGTTTTTAAATAAAGTTAGGTAGATATTGTAAATGTTTTCAATTTTTGTTAAGGTTTCTTCTTTTTATTTGAAATTGTTAACTACACGTAAATAATTTCTAGCGTAATTACTGCGAAAAAAATTAATCGGTATGTACACAAATTTTCTGTCCTGAGCGGAACATATGAATTATTATATTACATTGTAAATATAGATACAAACCGGTATGTTAGTGTGATTTTACGCATTTGAATGTTTGCCTATAAGCCTGAAATCCTAATAAGTTATTCTTAAATAGATAAATGCGTACCGACGTACCTAATTATCATACTTAATCAAAGAGGAGATAAGGTCACAACTCTAAGATGAAAAAGTCAACAACATTTTTTATGGAAATCACAAACAAACATACCTAAGTATTAAAATATAGGTAAGGTACTAAATAAATTCTTTAGAAGTACTTGTACCAAGTAAATTGTCCGACGACATAGTGCCAATAAAAAAGGTTTACAATCGAGTTAATCTTTTTAAGATATTTATCTATAATAATAAAAAATAATAGCTTCATAAATTAATACCCACCTTACAAAATGAAGTTGTACTAAGTTAAATATAAATTACGATGTCAATTATTATTAACAATTCACTATTTTTTATTAAATTTAATTACCACTTCTTGTCTGATGATACAAATATGTCCTCCATTAATATTTCTAAAACCGATTGAAGTATTGCAAATTTGCAAATAATAACTGAGTGAGGTGAGCGCGTACTTAGGACACGCTCGATGTGCGTGCTTCTATAAAATGAGCAAGGAATTACGAAGTTTACTTATCTGCCTTTGTATGTATTTGGATTTTACAACTTTAACTGATGATTACTTTAATAACTAAAGATAAATAATCATACGCACCCAACAAAATTGTTTAGCTGCGGCAAAGTGACATAACGTAGGTAATGGTAATGATGTGAAGCATTTTGAACTTCTTATCCACAGAAATTACTAATGAAATTACATCGCATCATTTTGAACCAAGGTGTATTTATAAGAAAAGAAAATTATTATATCTTTCATTTCTTAATTATTATTATAACTTTTATAAATGGTTCTAATACAATGACCTGTACCTAAACTAAAACAAAAAAAAAATCTTTTTGAAATTTGAATTGTTGAAATTGGCGCCTTTAGTTGATTTTTAATTTTGTCATGTTGGTAACAAACAAATGACAGTGGCGTTAGAGTCACCACACGAGTTTGACCGTAGACAATACTGTTTGTATCGATTGACTTCATTCATTCGATCTTGTTCGAATGATTCGAGCTTTCCTATTCTTAGCAACAGTTGCCTGTTAAAGAATAGGAAATGTAATTAATAATATATATTAGTATTTTATAGACAATTTACATTTGACAATGTGAAGAAAAGCTTTACAGAGTTTACAATTTCACAAAGACATCACACACATCACACAAAGAAGGAACGACTCTTCTTGACGTGCGAGAAACGAAACCACGACATTGTTTGGCTGCGCAGCCACCAAGCCAACCGTCCCGTCAAAATTAAAGGAAAAGGAAAATAAAATTATAGGATGCTTTTTAAGTTACCTATGTTGTTAGCAATACGTTAATATTTACAAAAGTTATAAGATAAAGATTAATTCACTGATAAAATGAGAAAGAATAAGATTAGTTATGGCTGCTCATTTTACATTATTATTTAAGATTAGCGGCCCGCCCCCGCTTCGCACGGGTCCAATTATCTCGCTATCAAGGGGTCACTTTTCACTTTTATTCTTCCCCTCAATTTTTCTGATATTTTCTTTGATAAGAACCTTCTCCTGACAATAACAAACACAACAAAAAAAGAATTAGCAAAACCACCAACCACCAACCACCAACACATTTTGCGAACCATTTTTATGTATAAGAAGAAGAAGATTAAATTATAATAATTAATCTTTTACTTTTAACTATTGATATAGAAATAATTTTATGGCAAATTCTTTATTATCGATACGAGTACTATTATAAGGTGCACCTCTATTGAACGAATGACACATAACAGTTTTGATATAATCTGTGGAGCACCAACGCACACATCGAAGTGGTTTATTCACATTCACACATTAACAAAAAGAAAAGTAAACTGTGTGAATGTGAGTGATCGTTTCGTTCCTCGCTGCTTGCTGGAAAGACAGACAGTTTATTGTTTTGTTTTAGAAAAAGTGTTTCGTTAGGTTAGGCAGAAGTGTTGTTAACGTTTATTAGTTTTAAAATAACTTAAGCTTCATCGTGTTGAATAAAAAAATTAAGTTCACTTCAACTTCTTGTCCAGAATTTATTATTTCACCACGAGACCAGTGAAATTCTTTGTTTTTCCACATTTCTAGCTGTTATGTTAACGCAGTTATTTTAAAGAAACTTTATGGGAAATATCTTCGGAACGGTGAGTATTCTTGTCTTTATTTTATTGTGTAACTCAAAGGGTAATCCCTTGTTCTTTAATTAAATAAAAGTTATTTGGCCTACTTGCTAAGTTCTTTTCATGAAATTAATTTATGTTAAACCTGCTAGGTAAAAATTTCCTGGAACCTTTAAATTCTACAGCGTTAATTTTAATTCAATACTTGCGTTAAACTTCACCTATTCTGTTTGAATCTATTTGATTCAGTGGGTGTTTTGTATGACTATTTCTCGTAATATTAGATACGAATACCTTCTTAATTATAATCACTCAAGAATCAAGAATAAATTGTTATAATTTACATTAAGCAAATAATTGATGAGCAAGTCACACACTTCAAAAATTTGGCTTTGAGGACCTTTGATAACCAAAATAAATGATCATTAAATAATTCAGCAATATCCATGTGGAATTTAAAATTAATGTTTTGGCTAAATATAATAAAGGAAAATATCTCAAAGATTTATTAAAAGTAGTTACTAAGTCAAGTTATTAAAGTTCAAAATCCCCAGTTTATGCATTATGTCACTTCTTTTGTTTAACTTATTCCCTTTGTCATCAGAAACATTCAAACAAAAGGAATTAGGACATGCATATTTGTCTGTGTAGTAACAAGGTTTTGTTATACATTTCTAAAGATGAATGAATCATACAAATTATTGTTATTTAAATTGTTACTTGAATCAATGTTGCTATGCAGATTTGCATATTTTTTATTTGCAATCATACATTAACAAATAAATAATCCTTAATGTAAAAATAAATGAGAGTAATTACAGAGGTCTTGTAATTAAATTAATATAATTATATTTCAATCTCTTGACAATATAATTAAAATCATCTTCAATTAAAACATCTTGCTGTATTATTCAATGCAGTCAAACTGGTATCTTTCAGCCATATTAATTTGCCCCTTATTTTATTACAGAATTATTGTCAATTGTCTTGTGAAACACAATGAAAAATAAATCGTAGTCTACTAGCTATTGCTTGTTAAACTTGAATAATTAATGTTAATTTGATTTTTATGAATGAACCTTTGAAAGCTTTGATCCAATTTATCATTTATTTCAATTACTTATCAAATAAAATATCATGGTATTTATACATGACATATTGAGACGGTATTCTATATTCATAAAGGAATTTCATCCTGCAGACTTGCCACAGGAAAATCAATAAAACCGCATGTCGCAGCATACCTTTATGCACAAAACAAAGTAAACACAAAAATTCTAACACTATTACTAAACCTGATACTTAAATTAATTAGTTAAATAAAGAGAGTCACTTATGCGTCATATTTTTTGTAGTGTTGTTTACAGTATAAATAATTTCTGTGGTACTGTTGTAATAAAAAAAAATATGAGTTAACTATAATATATAGCTGACCCGGTAAACTTCTCTCCGCCTTAAAATTAACTTAAGTTTTGTTACCTTTTAAAGCAACCCTGAACTTCCACAAATATTGAAGACAACAATAAGCCATTTCGGTCCAGCCTTTGATTTTTATATAGGTATAAGATAAGAAAGTACATTTCTCTCACAGTTTAATTAAATGGATAAAGCTGTGTATGTTTACATGGATCACATGATGGCAAGAAATCAGCGCTGAACTGGATACTTGTGACACCAGGGGATAGCATAGTCGAACTTTTAATGAATTTGTAGATTGGGACTATGGGAAGAGAGGGACCTCTGGCCACCTCACTTATACGTAAAATAATGAACGCTTTGTTTCATGACGGCTTTCTGGATAGTGTGTAAGCCATGGTAGCACTCCAATGGAGCTCACCCAATCTAGCAAAGGGTGGCTCTCACACATGTATTGTGTCAATTATTTGTTACTTTTACTGTAGGCTGCTGGCTCGAAGTACATTTACATTATTTGGTTTCCTGTAACTTAATGAATGTTTATAAGCAAACTTGCAAAAACACAAGAACCTGAAGACATATACCTACAAGTATGACATATTTTCTTCAACTACCGATAGAACACCAAGCTTTTGTCATCGTAACATTCAGAATCAAACCTCAGTAGGAGAATATTCTGGACAACGTAGGATTTAAGAATACAAGATTCAAATTGACCAGTCGCATACGACCAATGACAAGGTGACAATAACTGACATGGTATAAAAAAAAGCGCGTTTAATATTCAAAAAATAATGTGTGTGTTTGTTTTGACTGACTCATTCAGATGTGGACGTGCGTGAAGTGTCGTAGGTACATTTTGTATGGACGTACTTTATTTAGTAAAGTAACGGCTCCGAAAGAATTTGCCAAGCGTGCGTCCGTATGCAGTCAATCCGTCTGCTGATGCGACATTAAGAGAAAGTCACTAGAAACTGTGAGTCCTAGATTGTCTGCCGTTCGCTGCGTTGACGTCCTCAATAGTCTGTTTTTTTTTTGTAATTGTGACTATCTTCATGATTGTGTGTACCGTCCGTGATGATAGGGATCAAAAAGTTTCTAAAATTAGGTACTTAAAAAATCATATTGATATAGACACCTTTTTCAGTAACTACGTGTACGTCCAACAAAAAAACTAGGTACAGAAGCACATAATCTTAATTAATTATTATGTCTTCGGCTTACTCCCGTAATAATTTGACGAGATACTCGACTAGTTTCAAGCCATGCTAGACTGTCGCGCTGCTACTGAGTAGCGAGTATCTCGTCAAATTATTAAGGGAGTAAGCCCAAAACATAAAAATTAATTTAGAATGTCTCACGAAACTTATAATACAAAAAAATACATAATCTGTTAACACAACGCCAATTTAAATTCGTTCCTTTTTTAATACCTACCTATAATAATAAGATGGGTATTTTGCCAGACTTCGTGGCAAGGTAAATAATGAGACTGTAGATGGTTAAGGTCTGTTTATTACTTTAATTGCTGGTGCTTATATACTAAGAAGATGCGTGAGATTTTCAGATTTAGCTATCTTAACAAACGTGCAACAATTAACATGTATGTCTTATCTCTATCGTATCTAAGTAATGTAGCGACGTGATAGTGCCGCTACATATACTCCCCCCTTTTAAAAATAATTAACATATAAATTGAAAAAAAATTAGTATGTACCTAATTATATAATAACTTAACCTTGCTGATAAATTACATCCTATGCGTAATGTAATGTCATTGTTGCTAATTCGAAGGAAATAAAAACTGCTGCCTTTGTTGTGACGGCGGCGGCAGTCGATGAACTATCCACTGCATTTGTGCTGATTGTTTCTTGCTATTGTTTTCACTCTTCTGTCTAAGGTCTTCAGTATTCCGTAGAGAAGAAGGATGCCAATTGTGATGAGGATTTGTCCAATTGCAATGTTTCTCGTCCACCGTAGCTCTTCCAGGACAAGACTTTTGAGATGGTCGGCTTCATTTTGATTAAGGCAACTGTCGGAGTTATATACGATTTGATCTTTGGAGCTTTGGTTGCCCATTGTTCTCTCGTAGATACTGACGGTATATGATGGTATTTTCAAAATACGGTGAGTATTTAAATGGACTGATTACTTGTGTCAGCAAGTGACGAATCGTACTGTCGGCTTAACCGCCCGTCCTGACTTCGTGATGTACGTGTTCCGCCCGTTGTGATTATTTTCTGAATTTGGCACGTTCGTTCCACTATTGAAGTCAAATGCAGGTTTTAATCGGTCTTGCACGTGCTGATACCGGTGGTCCTTTAGTGATAATATGATGCTTAATCTTGTGTTTTGGAGTAGTGTGGAGGGAGGCTGGTTTCGTAATATCCTCGTATTCATTTAATAGTTGAGTAATGCGTGGATTCGTCTCAATGTTAATAGTGCGGATTGTTTGCTGCGTCGATTTGATCAGGGTTGCGGGCGTTGTCAGCTCAGTTACCCTATCTATGAGTTTTCGACCAGCTATATCGACTAATAGCTTATAATGCTCTAAAAAATCTGCTCCAATAATCGGTTGTGTTACATCGGCGATGACAAAGTTCCATACAAAGTTTCTTCGTAGCCCGAAGTTTAAAGAGAGTGTTTTTTTCACCATATGTCTTAATTTTTGTACCATTGGCGGCATAAAGTATACATTGTTCATCTTGTATTAGTGAATGTCTCTGTGGCTTGCTAATAACTGAAATATTTGCTCCCGTGTCAATCAAAAATCTCCTACCACTTTTTCGGTCGGTAATAGTGAGGCGGTTGGACGGGTGAATAGCACAGAGTTCCGCCGTTGTCCGTGCTTCAATTAGTTTCCCTGTTTCCTTGAGTTGAGATCCTGTTTCCAATCACAAGGTTGAACACACTTTTGTGCATATTTTTTAAATCTTCCATGGTAAAAACAAAAGTGCCTTCTTTCTCTTGAACTTGACTGTGGTAGGAAATGCCGACGATTGGAATAACTTTGAGTGCTGCGTCGATAGTTTTTTTGACCTTGCTGAATTGCATTTAGTTCCAATTGCATTTCTGCTAACTGTGCTAGTATGCATGACATTGTATCGTCGCCAGATTTGTTTCCGTTTACAGCTGACACCTCTGTACGTGTTGAATTTATTAATATCTTGTCCGCGATCTGGCTCATCTTGTTCACATCTATGTCTTCTGTGACTGCTAGAACCGAAGTCACTGATGGTGGCAGAAGCCTCAACCAACCCACGGCGGGGCACGCCGTCCCACGGCGGGGCACGCCGCTATAGAGGCGGTAAGGCCCGTTCTAGAGGAGTGGCTCAATAGGAGCCACGGCGCCCTCAGCTTCCGGCTGACGCAGGTGCTTACCGGACACGGGTGTTTCGGGAAGTACCTGTGTCGCATAGGTCGGGAGCCGACGTCTCAGTGCCATCATTGTGGTGATTGCCGCGACGATACGGCGCTGCATACCTTGGCGGAGTGCCCAGCTTGGGCCGAGCAGCGTCGTGACCTGGTCGCGGCCGTAGGTGCTGCGGGAAATCTCTCGTTTCCGGCTGTAGTGTGAGTCAGGGTGGAGTACCGTCGCTACCTTCTGC